TTTAAATATTTATTTATTTATTATGTATACAATATTCTGTCTGTGTGCATGTCTGCAGGCCAGAAGGGGCACCAGACCTCTTTACAGATGGTTGTGAGCCACCATATGGTTGCCGGGAATTGAACCCAGGACCTTTGAAAGAGCAGGCAATGCTCTTAACCACTGAGACATCTCTCCAGCCCCTGGAGCGTAGTCTTAAAAAATGTGAGGTAAAGGTTACTCTCCTGTGCCTGGATGTGCATTGCAGAGGGTCTGTAAAGCCAGGGTCAGTGTCAGTGTCTGCGTGGTCAGAGGGAAGCGGTCATGCCCTGCCTTTGCAGCCCTTAACCCCCCCCTCCCCATCCTACCTTAGCTAAGAGGAAGTATCAGGCCAGAGCTGCAGCTGTTGAGGGCTGCCATGCTGGTCAGTGGAAGGTGACATGTCACCTTTCTGTGGGACTGATCTTCTTGTTTATGTTATCCAGGCCCAGGTGGGACTTTGTTAATAAAATACTATACCTTCAGCATCAGTACCACTGGTTTGGGATTCCTGATGGGTTAGAGTGTGTCCTGTTAGTTCTCATATCCGAATTGATTATTTCTCCCTGTTGTCGATAGTTACTATGTAATTAAAATAAATAATTTTTATTGTAAAAAAGGACGAATGGACAATTATTATCTTGCCTTAAGTGAGTTTTATTTATATTGAGGTTTTATTTTTATGAACAGTAATGTCAGTGTTTAAAACCTTGTTTGAATTTGCAGCCGTCTGTGTAAAGATAGCTTTGGTTCTTGTTAACATGACGCAACTCCTTCCTTCTTTTCCTTCACCTCATGTTCATGTGTTTGATGTGGTACATACATGGTATCTGTGCACACTTCATTCTGTACGTCATCGCAAGAAAGTCTTACAGGGTAAACTGGTTTAGACCATGGTGCTAATTTGCTAGGTTTTACGTAACAAGACACCACACACTGAGCGACCTAAACAATGGGAATGACCTGAATCACCTGGATGCTGAGGTCTGAGGACAGTGCCGCAGGAAGGCCATGCCCCCTCTGACAGCACCAGGCAAGCACTGTACCTGGCCTCATTTCCAACTTCCGGGGCCCTGTTGACAGTCCGGTTGTCTTTAACTTGTAGATGCATTGCCTCAGTCTTGTCTTGGTATGCACATGGTACGACTGTCTGTGTTTGTGCTCAAGTTTCTGTTTTATATGGGTAGCAGCCAGGCTGGATTAGGAGCACACTCACTCCAGTAGGACCCTCTTAGCAGCGTTCTTATTTTCATGTCAGGTCACACTTTTGGAGGATACACTTCAAACAAGAGCAGCCTGTTCTGCATAAAAGAATTTCTTATAGTTTTCTTAACATTGCATTTGATTCAATGTTTAGAGGGACAGTTCTGCTCTAAGTACTATATAATTTTCTTTTGCATGGACCCAGATATACTTTTTTTTTTGTCAGTTTGGTAGGATATTGCCATAGTCTGATTTGTCCCCACTTCAAATTCATGTGTTGAAAACTCATTGCTAATAAGATAGTATTAGGAGATGGGACTTGGAAGGTGATTAAGTCTGAGCACGCCATCCTCAAGCATGGGATTACTGCTCCTCTAGGTCGGAGAGAGCCCCCATTCCAGTCTGCCGCAGTGCCGGTGTAGCAACAAGATACCATCCTCAGACCGAGTCTCCATTAGACAAACATATGCTGGTTTCCTGATTTGTTTAAACTCAGAAATTGTGTGAAATAAATACCTAGGCTGTGTAAGTTCCCAGAGTTTGGTGCTCTGTCATAGTCATCTGCGCGAGACAAACATGTTACCTTCCTCTCCTTTCTGTTGTTGCAACAATACCAGGTACTGAGTAATTTAGAAAGAGACTTATTTCGGCTCCTGATTCTGCAGGCTGGGAAATCCAGGATTATGTGGCTGCATCTGCCGAGGGCTTGTGATCCTTAACTCGGGGTGGAAATCAGGAGGGCAGGGGGGTGTATCGGGAAGCAAAATGAAAGGACAGCCTCTCTTTTAACAACCATCTCTCCCAGGACAGCCCCAGTTTCTCAAGAGGGGGAATGAATTTCTGAGAGAAGGAATTTAAACCACTCGTGAGGACCGTGTCCCTGTGATCCACTTCCTCCCCCATGCCCCACCTTTCGGTGCTGCTGTATTGAGGCCATAGTATGAGCTCTTTGGGCAGATGCTCGGACCACAGTTCCTGCATTGAACTGTGTCGTCTGGTTTTTTGCTTTTAATGATAACCCTCATCTGGGCAGGGTGTGACTTGACACAGTCATATTGTCACACTAGGATATTTCACTTCAGCAACCTTGATTCCACTGGCGCTCAGGGCCTTTCTGTTTTACATCATTTATTCATGCTTTCATGCTATTTTCCACGAGTCTGCTTATGCGTTTGTTGATCTAGCAAACATTAAACTTCTTAAGGTACTTAATTAAATACTCATTTTGACTTTATATATTAAAATTTTACTTTCTCAATTGCTTGCTTTATGCAGTAAACATACTGTCGCGTTGAAAGCATGAATTTGGTTTATTGCTTAGCCCAGGGCTCCTATGCCTCTATCCTTTTGATGAGTATGTCAATAGGCTGTTGTGGCCCCGTTTATTTTGTAAAATTATATGCCAAACATTATGAGTGAATTCTCCTGATAGGGTGCTTAGCTGGTCAGCAGTTTCTTAGATGTGCTCTTAATCTCTGCCTTCCTCCACAAAGTAAAAATGTAGGGTGAGAAATTGATCATATTTTTAGGACAGAATCCATCTGTCCTCTATAACTGGACTTGACAGTACCTGACCTACATGTAGCCTTCTCTGAACTAATTTTAGGGGCAGCCAAATAAAAGAGACCTTCCAGGAGATGCTAGGGTTGGATGACATAATGCTTGTGTGAGTGCCGTGCTTGCATGGTGAGGGGGACTTGAACATCTTTTTGTCATTTCTTTTTCTTTCCT